GTTTTGATTCTCTCATAAAAAATAAAAGTCATTTATTTTGTTTATTAAACTTACATTCCCAGTGGAATATTTGATTCAGAATATTTGAATCGTTGGCTTTCTGACTATAGTTTTTATAATATTTAGATTGTTTTTTTTCTCTCAATAAATCTGTTGGTATCAAAAGTTGCTCTGTCCTATGGGAAAAATCGGAAAAATACCCCCAAATATTCGCCCAAGACAGTCTTCCTAAATATTTCAATTTTTTGCATTTTGGTTTTTTCAGTCATTTGTGAAATGTAGAATCGTGGTTTCATTGTTGTAGGCATGTCGCGCTGTGATTGCGTGGACAGAGCCGTAGTTCAACCAAAGGCTATATGTAAATTCAAGGATTACAATCCACCCGACTGACCTTATGAAAAAGGTCGACGTCATGTGGTGTACATCGAGTGCACTATAGCTCAAGGGTTCTTGGTTCATTGCCACAACAACATGATTTTTCCACTTCAGTCCCACTGACCTACACCACTGACACTAGCTGAAATAAGTTTCAAAATATTCAAAATTTGTAACCCGACCTAAGCTGTGATTATGATTAAAAAAAGTTGTCTTTTTAAGATTATAACCAAAGCAGGTTTAGAAATAATCTGATCAGTTGGTTTGAGGTTTCTTTTCACTACTCCTCAATTCTGCTTAATCGATTGTGTCAGTTCTATTCATTTGTTTAATATATTATTTAGTTTGATTGGAAGTTGTTGTGTCAGATTGGAGGGAGATTCGATGTTATTTTCTACTAGAAATAATGAAGTTTGAATGATTTGTTCCATAATATAACCAGATAAAACTACAGGGGGTAAAAAACAAATAGATTCATTTTATTAAAAACAACCTTTTCAGTGATTTTCGTATCCAATAAAGGTTTATTGCACAATGCTGGAGATTTTAAGATAAACAATTGTGACGTTCGTCCTATGAATCCCTCCGATGATAACGTGCATTTAATTAACTTTCCTGATATACGACCCTACACGTTATGCCATACAGGTTAACATTTTATTGCTAAAGTATATGGGGCTTTGATTTTTTATTGAACAAAACATTCATTGCATTAGCCTTAAGAAACAATTACTTGATGATGTACTTGTAGTTGATAATAAGTATCATTAAAGCACCGAGTAGTGTTTGAAGTAGATTCTTCAGGTTCTAGATCAACGATAACGCATTTTCACTTTCCTAATATTTAACGAAGATTTATGTATGAAAAAATGAAATTGTTTCTTTTACAAACATTGAACTGTGAATTTGCATGTGGATAAAACGGATTAGGTCTTTAGTGTGGGTCATTCTAGAAAAAATTGCTTTACCATGAAGAAGCTTGCCATTGAAGTTCTGGTTTTTCTATTATGCGACTATCATGTTCAGCATATATACATACGGAAATTCCATAAGGGACTAGGGACTACCTTATATACCTTATCCCATTTCAGCAAGGATTGTTCTGGTCTCGAAATTACCCGGTCTATTTTTTGGCCAGCAAAGTTGTGAATCTGAATCGAGCACTGTCCTATACATTCAAGGACAGATCTGGAGTGAAGGCCCGAGGAAAGGGTACAGAAAAGTGATCGACTTCTGTTTTTTCAGTCGGCTCGATCTGGACCAGATTGTCTCCGATCAATTAAATTTTTTGATCGGCCCAATTGTCGTCCTGAAACGTTTCTAATCGTCCCGAATCGACTCTGATCGTCACGAATCGCCTTTAACAGTCCTAAATCGCATGGGTATAGGTAATCACGGAAGTTCCTCGCAAGATTGACTCATTTCTGGTACGCAAAGGTACGCGCATGTATCCGAAGGTACAACTCAAAGGTCAGATAGAAGCCCGCTTCCCGTGAGCAAGTGACCGATCTTCGCGCGCCGAAAATTGACGATCCGGACTCGAGAAAGGACGCTTAGCTTCCGATATCTGCCGTTCTTCCATCGTTCTTTGCGCAAGTTGGCCGAATGTTGACGCATCGGGTCGCAGGGATGTTTGACACATCGGGCACTTGCAGGGCACAGGCGAGACGATCGTCTGAGGATCTGGCGAAGGTTGGGTACTTATACTCACGACCTTCGCTCGAGAGTGCTAGACGTTAAACCGAAAGCTCAAGAATATAGAAGAGACAAGGTGAACTACAGACGACTAAGACAGGTTGGTGGTTATGATCGGATACTGTTTTTCAACATCAGTATCAGTTTGAAATCAGTAGCCGACCCCTTTTTAGATATCCGACCCTCGGAGGACTGAGGCGATCGTTCCTGGAGGTATAAGGTAGTGTCGAGAGTGCTCGCGGGTTCCCAATTATTTTGCACAAAAATTCGGCCGAGCGACCAAAAAATGGTCGGTTCTATCGAGCCCAAACATTCCTTGGCCTCATAAAGATTTTGATTTTACTTTCGGTTTCCCGTGGCTTCCTTCGTCAACCTACGCTTTCACAACGTAGGAAGATCGATCACATGCTAAGAAGCGGGTCTCTACAGGGCCTTTGCCATGTGCCTAAAATGAAATCGATCGCCTCTCTGCAATAATCCATTCGGGTCAAAAAAGGGGGACGATTGGAGGCGATTCAAGACGACAATCGGGCCGATGAAAAGAGTAAATCATCGGGGAGAATCTGGTACAGATCGGGCCGATTGGAAAAAACAATCCTTGGTGAAATTGGGGTATTACTTGCCTTATTACTAATGGTAGTGAATTATTAGCCTCATAAACCTCAGAATAAAGGCTTCCCCAGTTCTTTTACCTCGTCATGGGTCAAGTCATAATACAGTTTACATCTGAAGCGGCACTAGATGGTAGATTGCAGAGACCGTGAGCCATCCTGTCATAGAATGAATAAACTTTAGATAATTTCTAATATCCCTATTACATGAAATGTCGTATTCCATAAGTTTTGAACACCGTGACAGGATAAACAGAATGTGCATGTGATGTCACTAAGGGTACATTTCTGAGCTCTTTGATTCGACAACCACCATATAATGTTCGAGGATGTATGTTCGAGGAGCATATGACTGTACAACATCAACATAGGTTGACGGTGACCAAACAAATGATTGCAGTAGATGACAAGTATCTAAAACAACGGTACCATTTCTAGCAGGTTGGATTGCTTGATGTTCGACCTCAGCAGAAATCCAGATTCTTTATTGTCTTTCGCATCACCCCAGCACTATATTTTATAGCGATTTTATTTCGTTATATTTCTTAGCATTCTTAGTAGATATCGTTCAATTGGCTCTGTGCTGTGGTGTTTTGGTCTCTCGTAATATTTCTTGAATAAATTGAATTGGGAAATGTGTCTAGTTTTGTTTTATTCACATGCGTATTCTTAACGAAATCTCAGAAAAATCTTAAAAACATTTTGTCACTTACATAATCAATTGTTCCTGTATACACTGACTTGGGAATCTTCTATGGTGTAGTGTTCTACAATCGAATATTGTTAATTTGGGAGTTTTTCTTTCTCCAGTTCTATGGTGCTATTATTTAATCAACAAGAGAATTCTCCAGTTAGTCTTTTGATTTATAACAAATAACTTTAGTATTCGTTCTGACTGTTCTGTCAAAACTTTGTGAAGACAACTCGATTAACACAGTGAACTAACACTCGGTGGATTACTTGAGAAAATCGAAAACTGGATAATGAAAAGTAGTGTAAATACCCTGTCTAATCATTTACAATCACAACAAATAACTCGTGATGCTTTACTGACTTGCGTTTTAGATTCTTTCTTCCAATTTGGTAATAGCCCCTGGGCTATAAGACTAGATTGGCGGGACCTTAAAATGTAGCATTGTTACTTTCTTTCTGTTCACGATACATAGAACGATAATAATCTCTATCGCGTATACTTAAACCACACAGAAGAAATTAATATTGTTTAATATACACATAATTATGATGTTTGATAATTCCTTTCTGGGGTACATGTTAAGTATCAACTTTGTTGGATGTCTGGATTCTATACGATAATTATACCTTAAGTCTGATTGGAGGAAATCGAGCAAATGACAAACGTCGATTATAGTAGTAATGCCCTATGAAGGCGTATCTATGATCACAATATTGATTGTGAACAAGAATGAACATTCACAGTATTTGTCACATAAAGACATATACTACTGATAACAGAGTGCTGTACTGTATCACATCATTGCAGTCGCTGTTGTGGACTTTCGTTTATGCCTTCGTTTCTGTTACTAATTGTATTAAATCAAATCATATCATATTCTAATGGATTATGTCTGATAATAAGTTAGATATATTAAAGCTGTAGTGTAAATGTAGTGTGAGATTTTCTGTTCTTAATATACACACGAGCTATTTTACTTTCACAAAACTTGAAATTTCTATGAATTGTAAGTACACCGAAACGGAATACGGAATCAGTTGCTGTTCTGTGTTTGAACGAATAGGAGAATTGTCATATATAATTGTGTTATTATAGTTCTCAGTATAATTAGATAAGTTTTAATATTAGCAAATGCAGAAACATTTTTCTACGTTGATGTAGTTTTCCGACAATAGGATAGATGTTTTGCTGGCGTCTAACTGGTTTGCGTCTATATTTTGAGTTGAATTCTTAAATCGTGAACATAGTTAACTTTGTTTAACTATAAAGCATAGACTCTTTTTTGTTAATTCTTAATCAACAGTGGGTTGCGTTGATTGGGTTATGCAATTATGCACTCAGGTAAATGTCTTGTTTTCTTTTGGCTTATTCAAATGAAAGTTTACATGCAGGGTTAGTTAGACGGAAGGAATAGATATTAAGTATTTGATATCTTTAATTGATATAAATTTGTAAATTTGAATTTTCTATAATTTCAGATTGTAATTTGAAATGAGGACAGGAGTCCATTGTTGATAAAAGGTTTTTGGTCTGCTTTCAAAATGGATCAACGCAACACAACACCGTGGTTCTTTAATTCTTCCTCGGACACACCACCAGGCTATGCACCATTAGAGGTCCAAACATACCTTCAGGCTATAATCATAACTATGTACACATTAATTATTGTCTTAGCCGTTGGTGGAAATCTTATAGTATGTTATACAATTTTACGGGTACGACGCATGCGCACAGTGATAAACTTTTTCATTATTAGTTTGGCTATTAGTGATATTTTGATGGCCATTTTCTGCATTCCATTTACTTTTGTGGCGAATCTTGTGCTGAACTACTGGCCATTTGGTGACATTTTGTGTCCCATAGTGACATTTTTACAAACCGCTGCCGTATTTTTAAGCTGTTTTACTCTCGTGGCCATAAGCATCGATCGTTATGTGGCGATTATTTATCCTTTAAGACAAAAATTAAGCAAGAAACAAGCAAGTGTTATAATAGGATGTGTTTGGTTCTGTTCCTTCATTATCCCATTACCGACTGCTTTATATTCTAAAGCTCATAAATACGTCGACTACCCTACAGCACCAGAATTTTGTGAGGAAATCTGGAGTAATGGAACTGCTAGGTATACCTACAGTGTCAGTATATTACTATTACAATATTTTATACCACTCCTAGTACTAGCCTTTACTTATGGTAGAATAACATATGTAATGTGTATCAAGAAACCACCTGGTGAAGCTGTATCTACAAGAGATCGAATTATGGCTGAGTCAAAACGAAAGGTTAGTTCATGTTTATTCTGCAAGTTAATCTCATGCATATGATGATAAAATCGAGTTTAGGTTCATCGGTTGCAATCTAGGAGATTGTCCACAGTTTGTGGTCAGGTCAAGGAAAATTAGACATAAGCCTCAAATAAACTGGGTCTCGACCATACTTATTTCCCAGTCATATCAGTAGATTATTAATGCTGAAACTTAATAAAATTTGATCAATCGTGAACTCAAAGCTTTGGGCTAGGTAGCTTCATTGGAATTTAGCTATTTCGTGTTATTAATTCTGTAATAGTTGTCATCTTGCAATTTCGTTCGCCAATGGCACGTGCTGATATATACATTCTATAACTACATTACTAAAGATTAAAACAATAATTGTTAGAATCAGTTTGCCCGAAAATATGTAAACTGCCGAGGGGTTCCCAAATCAGCATTTTCAGAGCGAAGGATGATAGAGGTTTGGTATGATATATGTCGGACAAACTGGAAGGAATGTAGTCGAATTCCTAAACTATTATTGGCACTGAATAGCAAAACATAATTACAAAGAAACAACAACTATGAATCAGATATCTAACAGACTGTGTTCTCTTTGTCTTCGTTTGCTGATTGAACATGTTTCATATTTGATAACAAACAAACAAAGCTGGAAGGCGACTGAATTTCTTGTACTTTTAGGGGTGTTTGAAGACTGCCCATTTCCTTAAGTAAATCGACAGTTGGCAGATTATTGAGGCGAGATGATGAGATTGCTTTAATCTTTAATATCGTATGAACTATAAAACTGACCGTAAAGATAGTTATTTTGTTGAATCTTTGAACACAAATAACAGCGACCTTGACCCAACATCTGAAATGATAGTAATTATTGCATCATCGAGTTTTGACAGTCGAATCACATCTGAATAAAGTCTAAATTTGATGAATTGACACGTCTTAGAAATTTACTTTAGAAAAATTCGTCTTTCTAATTTTCTAATTCTAATATTTTCCACCATCTGCAAATGAGAAAAAAATAACATTGACTTTTCGAATAACACGTAGGCTTACATAGACTGGTTTTAACCATTATCAGTTTTCTCCACGTTTTTTCAGAATTCAATAGGCTGTTGTAAATTGAAACTATTTATGTGGCTAGAAATCGACCTGACCTGAATCTTCATTAATTTAACCAATGCATTAAATAACGCATAATGTAGTCTAATGTTCAGACTTGGCGGGGAATGGTAGTCTTTGAAATTAGCAGGTTTTGCACCCATGGCATTTCATGAATTGAAAGTGATAAAAAAACAATAATTGATATTGACAAATTGTTAATGTACATCCATTTCCCCAAAGATTAACCCCATGAATTCTTCGAAAGGCAACTTCAGCCGCATAGCACAAGCATGTGAGCTAACATTATTGTCATTTCCTCGTGTGGTCGAGACTAGGATTCATAATAATCAAATCAATGGCAACGAAATTCGAGTCCAGTACAGGATTATGTTATCCAAAGACAGGAGATTGCAAAATATGTCGAATCAATTTCAAAATATCCTAACAGATTTAAATACGAAATTTCAAACATTGCAGCAACATTTTGATGAGTATTATCACCACAGAATATAGATTGGAACAGTGAAAGACAGTACATTATTTTTTAAAACATTTGCTGAACAATTTCAATTTTTCATATTGCTTGACTAGTTAACATTACAAACTATTTTAATAGCAAAACAGTAACGTCAGACTTTTTTCCGCTTTATTTAAAGAAAGACGACAATAGGATCTAACTGTTAAATTTCGGCCGTGTTTCATTATATTCATTATATCTCAGAAACAGGAATATTTTAACTTGTTCACAGCTTATCGTCGACATCCGAGCCTCCGTATCCATGTATATCCATAATTGACGTCTCGCCTTTTATTTTGGAATCCGTGGTGTTGAAAAGCAGTTAAGTTTATGTATAGAGTTTGTATATAACCTTTTGCTAGATAGCTCGAGGTTAAATATACTTTACATCACATTGATTAAGTTGTAACATCACTTCTATCAAATCATGCACACACCATCAGGCAAGGGAGAAACTAGTGAAGATCGAATAGGGTGTAAAATGTCTATTTCGACGTATTGCCCTTTCACAATTTTATACATTGCAAAAACACAGACACCTTTGACTAACGACGTGTGCCTCAATCAAACTAGATAATACATAATATCTTTGATGTGTTCAGTAGTTTTAAATGGAATTAGTTTCAATTACAGGAGAAGTGAAAAAGTCTTTCAGAATATGCTAGGACAATTAATTTTTACGCAAACATTTGTGCGTTTTTCTCCCAAGGGATTGTCAATACACTTTCGAAATTTAATTCCTTTCATCAACTAATACATAGAATGCAGTGCTGTATGCAACTTCATTTACCACTCTGAATATATCTTACATGAAAGCTTCCTCTCAACAGTGAGTACGTAATTCTATCTCTCATAAAACAATAATTGAGTTATTTTCTCTTTCATTTTAAATCAAATATTACATTAATAGCAATATCAACACGACCAATTAAAGGTAGTTTACCTAATATATTAGATTATTATATATGATATCTCATGTTCCACTTTAGACAATTTTGGGATTACTTTCTTTAAACTGAAAGTTCCATCAATGAATTATGTTAAATTGACGACAAAAAATGGTAGCGGATAGATGACTCTATCCGATTCTTGGCAGATTTTATTTCATACAATTTCTACAAAACAGTAACTCTGAAACAAAAAAACAGACAATTTAAAGGATAGATCCTTTTCATTCATTCTTGTACAACCTTTTACCTAGAACTAATACATTAAATATCGATGAAATACAATTATTATTTTCTAATTCATTTCATAATTTAATGAAAGGCTTCTTTCAAATTCATTATTTTATTTCATTATCATTGTTTGAGGGGTTGAATTGAAATTCTATGTTACTTTTAATGCACGTGTATCGAAAGGTTTTCTGTAGGTGCGTGGATTAGGATGTTAATAAATGAAACAATAGGATACTATCAGCTTATTTCTTACTGCATCTTGAGATAACTCACAAATCATTAACACTTCAACACTCATTAGTTTTAACCACTCTCCTTCACACTATCATGTACTTCCGTGTACAGGATTGACAAATACAAAGCAGGATTTAATGATTAACAGAAAATCCGAAAGGTAAAAAAATATAACCCTTTTCTGTAGAGCAGATAGGAGAACAATATTTTATATGGAGAACTGAGAGAATGGAATTTAGTGAAGTCCAAAATTATCAGGTGTTAAACTATGTAACTGAGATTTCAGAGATTTCCACCGTAAACCATGCGATAGCTAATTCCAGTAATCGCAAATACTATGCATTGTATAGATACAATAAAGAAGCTTCAAAAGGATATTATCTGTTATCTATCATACAAGTTGCAGGAACAACACCCTTTCAATACATTTCGCTGTATGTAACCATAGTATCGCAAATCCAGTAAATAAATTTTAATTGAATTAAGACTACACATGATATTTGCCAGAATCGTCGTTTCTTCATGGCGAGATAGGGGAATTAAACAAACTATAATTAAACAGCTATTGCTGTTGTGTTAAGATACCTATTTTATTATGGTATTTAAAACTGTATTAAAAGGAGTATTCTGCTTTTTTGTTAAAAGTTTTCATTATCAAAAACGTCGTTTTATTATACCTGAAAATATTTTAAAGTAGCCTATACTATTGACATCTATGTATCGTCTTGATAAAAAAAGAGTACTAATTGGTAATTAAGCAGTTTGGCTTTGGCTAAATATTATTAGTTTAAACATTTAGAATAAGTAAGAGATATATTTTTCTACAATAAGGCGTTTATTTTACTCAAATCCGTACAGCAGTTTGCTTCCAAAAAGCATAACGAACTTCTTAAAAACCTTACGTATTGTTTTTTTTAAAATATTTTTGGCGTTTGAAATTATCAGCTGGATTCTTTTAGTTACAGCTATTAGACAAATTCGTGAAGGGCACATTTCTCTAGATTTTAATGTACAGTTTTCACAAATTTGAGCAAAAAAAATTTTCGACCTTCAAAAAAAACAGAATATCCCTTTAATATCTGTGCTGCTTTATAATTAACTAAATTAAAACTATGGTTTAAAGGAAGTAGCTTTCACAGACTAAATACACGAAAACGAAAGCCACAAACTAATTTTACGAAGAAAAGTGATCCGAGTTGTCAATTTACAATCACATCAATTAGCATCAGGTCACCAGAGAGGGTTTTATTGAAGATGGGCATTGGCCGTATCGAATGTATATTTTTAACGAGCTCCCCCGATATTAAGAGGTTAATGCAAATTTGTGAAAAATGATTTCGTCCATTGTAATTAAATACGCAAAGCTCAGTTTCTCTTATTACGTCCATATTGTGTGCTGAAAAAATGACAATGTGTTACAGTTATGCCCTCAGAAATAGTCTTCCTCAGTAGCAACGTAATTCGCTTATTAATCAGGAAGTTTGCTTCAATTGAGCTGGACAATTTGTACCGGAGATCTAACTTATCTTCAAGTATTTGTCAAATAAAAAGAATTCGAAATATAATCGTGTTATTTTCATAAACAACCGTTATGTAACTTGAATCAAGATCTCAAGTTAACCTGAACTGATGTAGTTTGAATATTTGACTGTCAGTAAAGAAGCTGAAAGAGGTTATTTCCTGCTACTACTAAAGTATCACATAGTGTGATGTTAATTGGATAATTTCCGAACTTGTCACTGTAATACCTTGGCATGATCTACTAGAACCTATATAAAATGTAGTGTGCTATTTACTTAACAGGAAGTAGAGCAATATCATCCAGAGTATTAAATCGATGTTGCCAGAAATACACAGTTGGCACCGAGACAACTCCTATTTCCAATACTGCTCGGTTCGGGGAACGATACAAAAGGGAAAGTTGTCCGTCTATAGTCTAAAAACTTGTCTTGCCATTTGCCATCGCAAATACAATCCCACCCAAACATCCTCCCCCCTTTTCTTCTCTTGATTGATGGGATCCAGAAGCGTAGTGAAACGTCTCAAATAGCGATATAAATGGAATGGTAAATTGTGAAGTACAATTCATATATATGACGATAAATATTGCAAATCATGTCATTTTCAATGATCAGATCTTAATTAAGGTTAAACAGAAAACTTTCCTCTGAATTGCATGAATGAAACAGACGACATGGCGCTACAGAATCCTTTAATGTGAATTGTATTATAGAAACCGATTTCGTGGCGTAAAGAAGAATAGCCTATTAACGCGAGTGCAAGAGACCTGTTTGTCTGAGAATTATAACAGATTGTGATGAATCGATTGATTTGTAATTTCCAATATTTCTGGAGTATAAGGAGGGAATTTGACGAGAAAAGTAGACAATACGTCCAATATTTCAAACTGAACAAAGTCTACTTCAATAACGTCTATTTAGAGGATCGTCTTATCTTTCGCTGCATGATTAATATCCGATTTTAGGACTTCTTAGATTCACTTATTCGAGACGTAATGACATTTTCGTTTCTTGGTTCATGGTCACGAACATTTAAGTATACAAGTCTACGCCTACTTACACAAGCAGAGACCTTTACGAAATTTTATAACGATGCTACTCACGTACTCAAGTCAAGCACCCTTCAGATTTAAAACAAGCAAACCTATATTTTACATCCATTGATGATTTTTATGAAAATAAGGTTTCGAAGATCAATATAATGCAATAAACAGTAGACAGAAATAGGATAGAATTCACAAGTTGATAACTTGCTCCTTGATAAAGGAGGAGGTTTCTGGAATTTTATTCATGAGATAAATGCGATAAATTGGTCTTACAACCAATTTCAATAACTGGCTTGCCTTTATGTGTACTTTTACATTATATTTCTTAAATTAAAACCGGCCATAAAACCCGGGTTGGATAATGTTTTTTTTTTTTTTTTTTTTTTTTTTTTTTCCACCCCGATAAAAATATATATAACACCGGTGCATGATTCGACATGACTTTCAAACCGGCCAATCAATAAACATCTTGATAAGAAGGTATTTTTTTTTGCAGCCCCTCTCGTAGTTTTGTTTGATAAAATTCACATCTTACTCAGAGATAAATTGAAGCACTGTTCCATCCTCCCATTGATAAGGGGGTTTAGTTTAAACGGCGATGGTTTAAAATATTCATTGTTGCGAAAAATAAAATTGTTTCGAAAGGAGTGGTATATAATGTTGAATTCATTCCCATGGAGATTTTCACAATGGTGATGACAAGCGGTTCGTTAATATGCGGAGATGTAGAATCACATTTTAGTTCTATGGATATTTTTCTTATCATTAATTTGGCCCTGTTTTGGTTTTATTTATATATCTGTGGTTTTCAATGATGAATAGTGCAAACCTTAAATCTCGAGCCGTGCCATTTTTATTTATTGTACTTCGGTGTTATTTATTGCTTTCTCATTTTCAAGGCTTCCAACTCGTATATGAGGTAGAATTTAATTATTTTTCTATGGTTTACTTTGATTTTCCTTATCACGAGTAATGAAGCACTTTGTATAATCTATATAATATTCAATACTGGTTGCGTGTCTTAAGTTATCGTCTTACGACGTCATATAATAGCCTTGTACAATACCGAGTAAGTACGCGAAATAGTAAATTCCCTCACAATGTTTGCTGATCTTCATATTCGAGAAAACTGTAATACTTTTTTCTAAGTGAGGGGAGGGGGGTTAACGATAATTCCAAACGATAATTCAGAAAAGGATTCACTAATGGTCGTTTGAGAACTCTGTTACATGCAACAAAAGTCACATAATTACAGATTTAACACAAATCTATGGTGATAATGTGGCATAATTATTCTCGAGTTTTATTGTAGTGTCTGAAAGTAATGGTGTATGATTCAGAGAAGACCCAATAAACTTTAAATCAATCAGAAAATCAAATTTGTAATCAACAATACAGATCTTCCAGACATTGATAACTTGTGTTGTCTACTAGACAGACTAATAATGAGAATAAAATCTTTATAATCCGACCGGAATTAAATGGATGTAATGATGTGTTGCCAGAAACTAGAATAATTGGTTAGTAGATAACAAGGTAACGTCTGCATCCAGCGTAAGTAGTAAGATATGGATTAATTAAATGGTTTGGTAGAGAAATCTTTAGATCTGGCCGGGTCGACTTACATGGTGGTAAATCTCGGAAAAGTGATGCAAATCATTATGGTCAAGATTGCCATAATAATGCCGTATTATATTTTGCTCCAATAAACGGGTCTTCTTGAGGTACATTTAAGATAACTGGCTGGTCAAAATAGTTTTGATGTTGAAAGACATTTTACTGTTTTGTGTTTAAATATCCAGGATATGTTTCAGACGTTTGGCAATTCCTAACTACATGTCCTGGGTTTTAAGATCAATTTAGCGTCTTACCAATTTGTTCACCCTGTCTGCACCTACAAAGACCTTTGCATTAGTCTTATCCAGTACAAGAATAGTAGTAGTGGGTCTCTAGTCCGTATTCATAAAAAACAAAGTTCATATCAGAATGACCATCAAGCAAGAAGACTTATGACTATAAAATGAGATTACGTCTGAAGATGAAAAGGTTTCATTTTGTAAAGAAAATCTGTAGATATAATTAATAAGTCGGTAACTTATTGCTTTTCGAATTAGTCTGAAGTGGCCTTTGATTACAATGTACAATTGGTCACACTACCAATGCCTACAGATTTGCTGTGGTCGAACTGAAGTGTTTGAAATGGTCGTGTTCATTATAAATTATCACTATAGCTTATAAATAGCTTTTGAAGTGTCATTTAAGATCCCAATACGGCCAGACACCAAGTTTCTTCATGGGTTCCATGTTGACTGTTGATTTATTGCTATTATCTAGAATCCTAACATCAGTAGTCAGTTAGACGGATGTTTTGCAGATGTAACTGAGATGTCTGAACAACGTACCGTATAAGTATATGAAATATACTTATGAGTTAATGCTTATATCATCTTTAACCATCAAGAGACCCTATTATTTAAGCCGAACACAGCCCACAGAAAATATAAATGTTGATTTTATACAGTTATTGCGTGTTCTGCCACCATCTTTGATCACGTTGTTTCATGTACTAATCATTTCAGACAACATAATGTAATTTTTATAGCCGATTTTCCTTACATTGAAATGCATCCCACAGGTATCCATCGACAAGTATGATAGACATGGAATATAGTAAAAAATATCCGAACAAATCACGTCTCCCCTATTCCCTATATCCCAATAACATGTCTAGAAATAGTGGTCAACTATCACAAAATTAAATCTACCCAGGAACGATTTAAATTTGTTAATATGAGTAAATCATGGTTGCGGTAGTGTTATTAAAACAGGTTGTTGTCGACGTTTATATGAATATGAGTTTATTTTTCTATTTGCAGATTACGAAGATGATGATAATAGTTGTTATAATATACGCTGTTTGCTGGCTACCACTTCACGTTATCACCATTATAGGTGCTGTTAACCCGGGTATTTACGATGGCCAGTATATGAATATCGTGTGGATGGCTTCTCATTGGCTCGCCATGTCGAACTGTATGTATAATCCATTTGTGTACTGCTGGATGAACTCCAAGTTCCGACACGGATTTTTAAGAGTATTAAACTGTTTGAGTTTTGGTTATATCAAATCTCCCGGCGAGATCGATTCTCGACTGATGCAGAGACAAAATACCTATTTGACCTCTGTTTCACCTTCAGGTTATCAAAGGAAGTTTTGTACCAAAAGTGCTTTCAGTAAACCAACCGACTGTAATGGACGGACAGAAGAGATACGAATGACATGAGCTGGAAATGAATTGCTTTAATAGAAAATAATACTATTGTTGGCATCTTACTTCGACAAAAACTGAAACTGATATAGTAGTTTTCAAATTAATTAACAGAGTTCTAAGATGGTTGAGACATTAATGGCTTAAAAGTGTTGTTTATCTGTTATCTGGGTATAGCGTGGTGTTTAAGATGAGATGCGTGGCTGTCGATTGCTCCACATGCGTATTAAAAGTACCTGGTCATGGAAAAGTTGCATAGAAAAGAACATGCTATAACAGTTAACCTGTGAATGTTTAATATTGTGTTCGTTGGGGAAACATCGTTAAGATCTGGTATTGTCAGGGGTGGGCAGATTTTAATTACGATGTAATAAAATTTGTTATGATACAAAGTTATGTATGCCAGTCGCAGAGTCAGCTTTCCGAGACTGGGGATACACATAGGGAGCAGACTGCCAGGGTAACATTTGTCTCAAAATGTGAAGCGCATTAGGCACAGGCGTCCCATGGAGCGTCTGAGAGAGTTCTCACCCAAGAAAGGTTTTGAAAAATAGAAAGGATTTGATGAATACTGACACATACTTTAGTGCAATAATATATAAAAATCACATTGTTAGAAATGAAGTGGGGGTACTATTTTTTAGGGAGGAAAAAAGTTGGTTAAATAGAATAGAACCTTTGAAAATTTCATAAAATCCACCATAAACTGTACAAACATGTGATGTTCTTTCAAGAACGTATGTTGACACGATTTAAAAGTATCCCCGGACTACGATAAATAATGAAGGGATACTGTTTTGTATTGTTTGCGTAACAAATGGCGTTAATAATCTCTTCCTTGACAATCCGATTTAAGGACTTCATTAAAATTATATTGTCATCTTGAAATGAATGTAAGCGGCTTTAATCTGGGAAAAGTATTGTCATTCATTAGTAAGATCCGTCATTAACACCACTTTCACCTCAATACACCAGAAAATTCAAATAATACATAAAAAAACTGAAACACTATGCATTTTTCTCTCATATTAAGTAACTTTCCATAAGTAACCTCCCCAATAGCAAAACATAATGTAGATCTGTCTGGAATAATGTATGAATCAAATAATTTCTGTCATGTTAGTTGACCAAGCCATATCCAGAAGAAATAACTTCCGCATCCAAACGCTCCAAGGCTGATCAATGCAGCTGCTTGTAAGACGTGATTTATTGAGATTATTAAGAAACGTACGATGATGCGAAGTAGCAGAAGTCACTGAGGTGGTTTTGTTGATACGTGTTTTGTTTGTGACATATTTCAAATGTCAACATGTTTTTAGATTGAATTAACGCTTAGATAGTCCTTAAATTGATATTAAATTGCTCAACTGATAGAATTGGATGTTAGAATAGTGGAAACAATGTCCTTTTCACCAGAAATCAGGATTTTCACGAGCCGACTCAGTTAAGACTCCAATTAAGGTTGGTAAATAAACATAAGCCGTTATCTTAGAATACTTGAAAGACGATGTTACCGACGACAATAAAAATTAATATTTTATGAAAATGAAAATGCTAATACTTATATAAATAGAAAGTAGACGTGTTCTAATGACTTAAAAAAATACCAGTTTTACATTTTTATAATTAATTCGAGAGGATTACGAGTATATCATTATATAATCAACTCGTATTATATTATATCTATTGTCTTTTCAGATGACCGTTGTCATTGTTTGTATTAAAGTTATAGTGAACAAATAGGCATCGTTCTTATTTATGACAACGGTCCAACGCAGAGTAACAACATAAGAAGCAGCCATCGAGCAACTACCAAACAATTGTACCAGGCAGTAAAGCGATGCCTGCCGTAGTCTGTCCTATTCCCGATTGTACCTACGTCACTGATGATCATGATGCTGCCCTCATCACAACCCACAGTGCTACACACACTCCAGGACTGCTGCCAAAGTAGAAAAAGTTAAAAGACCAATCATATCAACAGCTGGCTCTAGTGAAGAATGGTCTGACGGTGGTCGGATTATGTTTCTATTAAAATTACAGGTCGCGACAAAGTGATTCAACTGCTAGAATGCTGCGATGATTAACTACGAAAGGACCTGACGCGATCAGCAGGTGACAGCATTACAAACAAAACTGAACAAGAAGTACTGATTGCCATTAAAAACTTGCAATTCGTGTTGAAAACACTATGGTAGCCAGAGTCACAGTACACAACATGCGTCAAGACCGAGATGAACCAGTACGTAGTTTTGGACCCCGTGGCCAAGCTGGTGTATGCAAATTCGTGATTCAATGCACAAACTGTGACACTGCCGTAAATTACACTGACGAGATCCTTAGGGATGCGCTCACTCGAGGCATCGCTGACCACGATATCCAATTAGACATACTAGGTGACAAAAATCAAAACATGACCTTGGAGGAGGTATTTAAATTTGTTGAGGCACAAGAAGCCGGTAAGCGATCTGCTTCTCATCTGATCGATTCCCACATAACAGAAGCAGCAAGTAGCAGCACCTACAAAAAAACAAAACAAAAGAATGTTAAAGATAAACCAGATCTTTGTTCTTATTGTGGGAAGACAGGCCATGGAAAAAATGCTCTGGCTCGAATTCGTAAAACTGTGTGCCCTGCTTACGGACACAAGGCTGTTGAGAGTGCAACCGCGACCATTACATGGAGAGCCCGAAGCAAGGACAGGCGAAAGGCCATAGTTACCCCTTCGAAGGCAGATGACTGCGAAGGAGCTGTTTTTGACGCCTTGTGCTCAATTACATCCTCTAGACAACCAATCGCAATCGACCATCACATAATAATAATAATAACTTTATTTGGCAATGGATGGGGAAATAAATATGAAAATGTAACCACTAAGTTTCGACACGAAACTATCAAATAGATGTCTTTGTTTAATTTCAAACTATGGATTCTCATACCAAAGACTTGGAGGGAGATAGAGGATTAGGAGTATATCATTATATAATCAACTCGTATTATATTATATGTATTGTCTTTTCAGATGAACGTTGTCATTGTTTGTATTAAAGTAATAGTGAACAAATAGACATCGTTCTTATTTAAATTCATTATTGGCTAAATTCGAAGGGAATTACTAGCAGACTTCCAATGAGTGACCGATCAAGAAAGGTCAAAAAGTCTTTTTTATCCAGACTGTACATACATGGACATATATGATTGGTTAAAGCTCTTAATTATATGCAATTAGAAAATAATGATATGATTACATGTGAATTCAAAATAGTTTGCTTAATTTGACACTAAAAAATAAGGAAACCCATCTTTAGGTCGTCTAAATATTTCCTTCAGAATTAAAATCCAAGGTACAATAATATGTCTATAATTGATTAAAAAGTTTCAAATGTCGTTGGTGACAGTATCCAGTGCTTTTAAGGTATTGTTTAAGAACAAAAATGTAGTGAATGAATCCCTTCAACAAACTTGTTTTTTGAATTCATGAATATAATCTGATATAACCCCAGACATTTTTATATATTCATTAACATTAAATAAATATTACCTGATGGTATTTCATATTAAAGACTGACTTTTATTCTCATATTTCCTGTTTAACCTAGCCTTTGTTTATGTGAATATCAGTTTGAACGCGTGTCGAACCATCGTTTCATGGAACATTACGCTGATGTTTTAAACTAGTATTACTTCTAAACATTATTTTAATTGGTTAAGATTTGTAACACAGCCATTCTTAGAATTATGTTACAAAATATTTACAATTGTTTCTAAAGCTCGCATCACACCAAACATCATTGTAATTCGACAAATCAAAAATCATAGATTATAGGATTGTGTATCAGGAAAACTATAGCCTAGTTTCGTTTGGCTACTTTATGATTCCCACCTGACGACCGTGGTTTCTGTTATTCTGTAATCTATATGCTGGTCAGCTGCTATTAATTCTTTTTTTTTCTCGAGCTCTATATCTATATTAGAACTGGTTGAGTTATGTTTGTCCTTCAACCCAGGTAAGAACTTTGATCTTATCGCCCATGGATCAAACGTATTCCCGATTACAAATAGATCCATTTTTGAACTTTTCTTTAACTTGAAAAATAGAATTAGCCTTAATAAGTTTTCAGGCCATCTGCACACACACCTACATAAACTTAGTGGAAATCTGCGCAATATTCCTTTAAATCACTAAATACAAGACCATGAGCAAAACATATACATGATTTCAAAATCTAATTACATACATGACAAGGAATCGGAAATAGTTTTGTTCCAAGACATTAGTAATTTTCTGAATACACATGAACAGAGAATGTTACCTTGGTAGTGAACATAACAAATACATAATCCAAAAGCAAAACGATACATCTGGTGCAATCACGGCTTTAATCTAAACATTCAATCCCGATAATATAGCCAAATTCTCAAATGACCAAATATTTACTAATGAGTGTGTAAAACTGGATGTATGTTTGGTTAACGCTACGTTTGTTAGATATCAAAATATCTGAGCCAAGTTACGCTGTGAATGCCGACCGAAACAGTAGAAGGTCATCAACAACTATTAAGACGGGTATAATAATACTAATACAAAATAGCCAGCTTATTCATTAATCAGGGTGAAGGCTAACCATCAAGGAGAAGCTTAACAATATTATTCTACAAAGATATTTCATATGCATGTATATATGTGGTCGAAGTCTTCGCCTCTATGGCTTTTAGCAACGAATTCATACATATTTCCCTTAATTCACAAAAATCGATGCAATCCGAAATCTAAATACATGTATACAGAAGAGCACCCAGTTTCCTCAAAATCAGATCAAACCAGTCCATTTTTGATATTATAATTATATAATAATCCAATAACCGTTCATCTCAACAATGAACATATGCTCATAGGGTTGACGGAATTGGATAGAAACTGTAAGCTCTATCGTGTCTGCAAGCATAAACGAACGAATAATATTATCACATTTTGATTGTGTGAAAACACAATAAACCACATAATTGCTGGTTTGATCCTTTTGTACTATAGCCGTTTGAGCGAGGAACCATTAATAATTTGTTCATTTTGTGGAAAAGTGTTATCTTTTTTTGTCTGTAAATGGTTCAAATTTTCAAAAATACTATTCTGGATTTCTGGTGGCCATACCTATACCAGAGACTTTATTCTCTTGAGCATTAATCAGAAATCTGGTCCTTCATGTACATTTCGACCTACATTGTCTAAGGTCATAAAAGGCCGAATAGAAAGGAAGGATGACGACAATTACTGATTTCAAATGACAAGAACAAGTTTTTAGTTCAGTTTAATTATTCTGAAAATAATCCCCTGGCTATAAACTGACAGTATCCGATTGATTCGATCTGCAAATGATGGCAATAGCTTCCGCGAAAACTGTGCTTCAAAGGACAAAGACGAAATTAATAACACGGAATTTAAAGCAATGCCAAATAACAATTAGATTCATTGTCTTAATGCATGTTCTAAACAAAATGGCGGTTTAAAACATTTCCAGGAGATGTTTTGCACCTCAGTATGAAATAGTCCCAATCATGAAATATTTGAAATTATCCATTAAACATTAATAGCAATCTTACTATTTCATCAACGAAGATTAATAGCTTACGAAGATGTATGGGGGGCCAGGCTAACCAAGCAATGATCATTTTCTGGTAGATCAATGCCAATACGTTTGGCAAACGATCAGCTGGTAGATAGGATCCTTAATGAAGTTGCTACTCTCCTGTTTCTTTCTTTCTTTTAACACCATTGTAAAATATTAAAGGTGCGTGAAGGAACCGTTCTTGCCACAGGCTGAGATAGTGCTATATTTTACAATTCGTAATTGATGTCGATCGGATTGACTGACATGAGGAAAACCTTCATTCTTTTAAATGGGACAATAATCCAACTTCGCACGATAAAGATTCCATAGTAGAAGTAGAAGTAGACTTTATTTCATTCATTGTACAACACAATGCACTGCAGCATCTCAATGATTTGATATACAATATGCCCGCTAGCGCGACCCACCTTCAGCCTTTTTTATCGAAAAATAAACAAACAAGAATATTATAACTTAAGGACGTGACGATCGAAAGACTTCTTACCATAGTGACAATACTGACAAGATCGTTAACTTCAATTATACAAAAAGTTGATGTACTACCGTCATAAATGTAGATGTTATGTTATTATACTATTAGTAAGAATATATATTTCAAATCTGTCACGTTTGCATTCTAAATTATTTAGAATAGTTATTTTTGATTAATTTGAATAGATGAACTTGGAATGTTCACTAGATATGTGAATAAATAGACGGAGATATCCCTTTAAATGCAAAAACAACATTTTGAATAAAACATCAAACACAACAGTCGAACAAAACCAAAAAAAGAATGTAAAAACGTGATGAATTGAATATGGTTTCAAACGAAAGCAACTGTCTCAGGAACATTCACGATGAATTAAATCAAAGATCTAAAGAATGAAGAGCCATCAAAAAACAAAAAAACTTCATAACTTGGTAGGAGTCTGTACTTAATGAGTCTGATATTAAAAATATAAAATGGCCTGTACGTGTGATTATTGCTTACTAACCATGGCCTTTCATCGGCGTTATTCTTTCATTGGTCGTACTTGATAACTTAAACCAGGATGTGTCCGGATATTGTAGATGGTAATATATAATACAAGGTTTTTAGAAACATGGTATTTGAAATAATTGGCTCAAATCTTTATATAAAGCAGAAAATCCTCAAAAATGAAATTGACAAATGTACGGAAGCATGGAGGGGACACGAGAAAAATAAAATATAACTCGTTGCCACGACTTAACAGCTCGTGGCCACGACTTAGCATCTCGTGGCCACGACTTAGCATCCCGCGGCCACGACTTAGCAGACATATAAAAAGAGATACAAAGTCGTGGCCACGAGATACTAAGTCGTGGCCACGAGATACAAAGTCGTGGCCACGAGATACAAAGTCGTGGCCGCGAGGTGCTAAGTCGTTGCCACGAGATACTAGTTGTGGCCACGAGATACAAAGTCGTGGCCACGAGTTACTAAGTTGTGGTCGCGAGATACTAAGTCGTGGCCACGAGATGAGAATTTTGTTTTATTCTGTATTATATGTCCCCTCTATGCTTCCGTACAAATGCAATCACATAACCAATATCACATTAATACTTTTCATGGCCTGAAATAACGGAAAACATTGATTTCTAATTTTTGAAATGTATGCTTAGTAATATTTTGACTTTACTGGAGAATTCGTTGGATTATAAGACGCTATAAAACCAATACTTTACAAACATTCATTCATGAGTGGCTCCATAAAGAATCCTTTTTTTACTATAGGCCTTCTAAAACAATCCTCACCGACACCGTAAAACTATGTAAGTATATCTAAATTCCTTTAACCACAGTGACGATCAGTTTTAAAGCTATGAATATTATTTTAACAGAAGTGTTGGTTTTTATGTGAAATAAAAGACTATTCTACCTAATTAGAGAATAATTAACCCATAACTTGTACTTAATTCAATTTAATACTGTGAATAACTCAAAATACCCCCCAAAACCAGATATTGGCAGAGAAATTTGGCAAGGAGAATTTGAAGTATAATTGAAAATACCACCTAGATCTACATCAGTGTCAATTATACTAATTTCTAATTATGGTTTGTGGGCTGAAGTGGCTAGTGATAAGAAGGGATTCAGATCATGGAAATGGAACCTTTTATCGTAAGGCGTAATGAAAGTGGAATCACGGCGGAAAGAACTATTAAAAGAGTGAAGCAAAAGGTCTATGAATTAAATGAAACTACACATTCATACTCTTCTTAGAATTAAATAATGAGTTCCGACTTAGTGTAATATCGACTGTTGACTGAATTTCCATGGGCGCCACAATCGCGGATTATCTCGGGCTGTTTGAAATTTACATATACATATCGGTTTTTTCTAGAACTTTGTTGAAGCCAATAAAAATTGAATGTACATGGAATTTGAATGCTAAGTTATAATGTTTATGAAATTTCTAACTCTAACTTCGATTGATTTAGTAGTGATTCGAAAATCTCGTTCAACCATGTGCGTGTCTTTAATTTCTACGTAAGACCAACGTGTACTTTCATATAGCTTTATCTGCCAACACTCTTGTCAGATTTGTGTCTGATTACACCTATTAAACATATTATGGTTTCTACTAATATTTAAAGGTTTAGTGGGTCGTTATTATTCGTTTTGTAAGCCCTTCAACAACCCCTACTTTCAGTCTAACAGCAAAGGGACTGGAAGTAGCAGATTCTGTTGGACTTGTAGCGGGAGATGTTTATGAACTGGTAGTTGTAGTGGTTGGACTGGTTGTAGTGGGTGTTATTGAACGCCTCTTGTGGGCAGCATACAAATACAAAAACAATAATTTGAAAAGATTGTATGAGTATAGGAGTATAAAATATAAATATGGTACATGCGGAATAAACATCAAAACAACAACAATAGAAATGATATAAACAAAGTGCACGTATCATGGTATTTTGTGAGCAGCAAAGTTGAAGGACCAGATGAGGTTGTTGGACTGGTGGAAGGGGACTGGTTGTAGGACTGGTAGTAAGAATATTTTTGGACCAGTAAGAGATAATGTTAGACTTAGCAGTAGGGGGTGGTGTGGGATTGGTAGTAGATGTTGTTCGACTGGTAGTTTGGGATGTTGTAGGTCTGGCAGTAGAAGAAAATGTTCGACTGTTGGTAGGGGATGTTGCAGGACTTGTAGTAGATGTTGTTCGACTAGTGATATGTTTTAAAACTGATTGTAGGGGTGTGGACTGGAAATAGACTCGATTATTGGACTAGTATAGTACGGGATGTTATGGTCTGGTAGTAAGAGATGTCGCTGGATTTGTATTGGGTGTGATGATGGATTTGTGGTAGGAAAAGTGGTTAGAGTAGCAGATGGAGATATTGTTAGACTGGTTGTGAGGGATGCCGACGGACTGGTAGTTGGAGATGTTGTTGGACTGGTAAATGGACATCAATAATGCCAAACTTTACCAATACCAATTTGTGAATAAATTATTTGGATGAAAGTTACAATGTGTACAATTATACTGGTCTTCTGACAATTCTTACTGAGTATTGAATGTTTTAATTCAATTTTCGCGATAATAACCTGCCCAAGGGTAAAAAAAACCTCATCATAAATGAATTCCTTGACTGTGTAAACATATTTTTACACCGAAATTATGTCTATTGATACTCTAGAAGCAAAGTTAGGACACCAAAAGTATTCGGAATATTGAGGATGGCGGCCATTTTGAATTTGGTCCACAAATGTCTTATGTGCACCCGGTGGAAATGTGCTCAGAAGGGCTATCTAAAGCAGAACATACTTGCATCAAAATCTGGTGTTTGGCCATATACTATATATTTCCAAATTGGTCCTAGCTTTTTCGTAAGATAATGTTACTACTACTTTAACAATAAATGCACTTCTATAACACCTATAACAAAAGTGACAAGGCTATTGTAACATATTTTTTGACAGCAATCTCGTCTAATCACAATGAAACGAATTGGCAAATAATGTAGTCAAATATATACCAACAATGGAAATGGAGTGCAGTGGTGGACAATAATCTCATTGTGAAAGTTATTTGTATAGGCCATAAAAGACTTTGTTAGAGTATAGCATTGTAAATAAACGTTAGTCATTTTTCTGTCATATTTTGCCTAAGTAACCTTTATACACGTCTGTTACCAACGACGCCATTTTAAATGTTGACGTTTTTTTAGTGATTTGGTAAATCAAAATAAACACTTCTTATAAATATATACTTATTTTAAATATGTTCATGTATTTTACTTAAATTTCTTTTGAATAATGTGATTATATTACTGATGGAGAATTTACTCAAATATGGATATGGTATTTTAATAGCTGTACTTTCTTGTACTTCAGTAAGTAATCAAATTGTAATAAGTGTAGGTTAGAACATACATGGTACTTGAATTTATTTGAACATCTTCTGGCTATAATGCAGTTTTTAATTATAGAAAAATTAGCATACAGTCATTATCACACTTTGTTCTTATTGGAAGAATCGCCATGACAGATTGAATGCTTCTTATTTTGTGGATAAAATTGCTTCATCATTGTATCCGAGTTTTGACAAATATGATGCTACAAAATTATATTTCATTCGGTTAACCTTGCTATACTTATATGTGTATATTTGAACTAATGCTGTAATTTTTTCCCTGTACAGATTCTCGCACAACCAGTGATAAACAATCAACCAATAACAGGGAGTCTACCAGAAGCAACGTTTCTCCAGACGGCTATAGTTGATATCAACTGTACAGATGCTGTTGATCCTGTCAATGGAAGGGTTGCTGTTAATCTGGTGGACGTTACCAGCTCACCTTCCCCTGGGCACTGCTCAGCGTGTTTCCAGGTCTTCAATCTAAATACAGGTAAGCAGACTGTGAAAATTACATAAACATAACGCTTCGTCGTCTGTAATCAACAGAGTTGATCTTTTAAGCTTGGCAATCGATTCCAAAAAACAATTCTATCGCTCTCGGGTATTTATTGTATATTAAGTTTACAATATTTTACTTTAAGCCGTGCCCAATGAATGGAAGTTATATTTTGTACCAGGTGATCTAGACTATTTCACTGCCAGTAGATATGATATCCGGGTACAGTGTAAAGATAGTGCTGATATGTTATCACCATTGGTCATTATTGGTATAAACGTTATACCCAATGCTCCACCATACTTTTCACCCATATATCGTAAGTAACGTATTCTTCTGGTATTAAAGGATAAAGGTCCACCCGTACCTCAGTCTAAGAAACAGGACCATTTACATATATTCAAGACCTAAATCAACCCGTGTATGGCGAACCTTCTTTAAAAGTTGTTACTGGGGTTGTTCTTAGACCCATCATTTTCAAGACGATATCAATTTTGAGGACTATTTAAAACAAGAGAACAGGGACAGGGAATAGCTTTGCTAGCGATCCAAGACATGCTGACGGTTCCTGAACGCATAATGTCACACTCTGATTTAATTTTTCCAATGCCAATGATCAACATTTCCTGTGGATGTCTTGCAATAATATACTACGCAAACTATTCTTATTCCCATATCTGATCTTTATTCATAGCCACGTCTTCTTGACTATGACCCGAGTAGAGCTATTTGAAGACTATTCCACCCTTGTAAGTGAATTTTGTTTCAGACAGAATATATATAACTTGATTTCAAATCTAAATTATATTTACGTTGTAGTTCAACTAGGTAAATGTCGTGTCATTATGGTTTTTTTTTTAATTCTGCGGTGCAACAGAATCCCTTGAAATTACACTGGGAACGGAAATTTCCCCTGTGATGTTTCTAAATAGTTAACATTTTCTTTATTTCAGAGACAATAAATATAACAAACAGTGGTAATAGAACAGCGGGATTTTCTATTTATACTGCTACCGCTGTGGATACCAACAGTGATTCCTTATTTTATACCATGACTACATCTGTTACTTCTGATATATTTCAAATAAATAGTGGTGAGTGGTGATGTACTCTGTCTATGTTTAATTTTCATTACCTGTGCACTTCAAAATAGTTCAAAATATATACTTCGATTTCTCTACGTACTTTAAAAAGGTGTCTTCACTACATTTATGATTCTTATATTTTCCATTTTGATTTTGGTTTTTTAGCTACAGGAGAAATAACCTTAATAAAGCCACTTGGGGGACTATGCAGAAATAATCTGTTGATTTATATCGAAGCTGTTGATAACGTAAATCCAGAAAGAGCAAGATTGACGTTAAATATCAACTTTCTCCGTAAGTCCATCTTTTGTATAGAATTTTCTTTGTACGCAATACCTATATGTAATGAGATACACCAAATAATTGAAAGAGTTTCGCATATCTCAAATAAATTCTGAAAATGTAACACTATTGATTTTCATATTGCTAATAATTACCCTAGCTGGGACATCAACAAAATTCAATGTTACCTTTTCTAGAAATGAATCTACCAGCAGTTATTACCAACATGAATAGAGTGGTCAGTATACAAGAAAATAGAAATGTCAAAAGAATACCAGTAAATAGATTTGATATCTATCAACCTAACTTCTCGTGTACATTAACTGTACAAGTATCTACCATGCAGACCAAAATAACCTATAATCCAATCGGTAAGTATAGTAAGCATACAGCTATATGCAAATCGAATACACAAGTCTAAACAATAAATCAAAGTCGATTGCCATCAGAAAAGATGAAAAGACAGAAAACAAAATAAAAAGTTAAAGAGAAAGTTAAACAAATGACACATGAAAAAAATATAATTTGCGATCCAGAGGGAAGTGATGCTATGTTTTGGTCTTTAGAACACTGTCGAATTACATATATACATATATAATACTATTTTAAATGATGGTTACAGAGGGAGCAATAGATATCTCCACATTAAACTATGAAGTAGATTCCAACACAAACATAACTGTACAGTGCACAGATGGTCTATGTTTATCAACAACTAAGTGGTTATATATTCAAATACTGGATGTCAACGACGTTCCTAGTCTCAATCCACCATCCCAAAGTTTAACAGCTTCTGAAGGTTTCGTAAGTACTAGTCCATAGACAATTGTGATAAAAACTAAACAAATCAGTTGAAGCGATAATATTGAATAAACGCATCAATTTGAAAATTCCACGTGTGCCATTAATAAGTATGACATAAATGACATGGACTGTGATTGCTGAGTAATGGGTTCATCAGTCTGTAAATTATAGTTCATTTGAACGCATCTAAAATGTGTCAAATTATTTACCTCTTTTCAAATCAACATTGATTCGACTTTGACGTCATTATTGAATAAAGACATTTGGATATCACAGTATATTCTTGATTCTTGAATTTAACATGAATGAATATTTTAGCCTTTTTTACATCTTCTAGCTTCTAATTGTCTTCGTTAGTTTTTTGTTAAATATAATTCATCTCTAAACTTTCAGATAAACACTGTACCTAATCTGATTGTTAAAGATGAAGATGTTAACGATCCCCACAAATTTGAAATCGTCAGCATCACACCAGTTACAGCAGGTTTTGAAATATATCCAGATACTGGACGCTTGATCACAACAGTCGATTTTCGTGTAGACAAGAACAACCAGATTGTTTTAGATTTTCTAATAGCTGCCGAAGATACCAAAGGAAAGGAATCTACAAATAATGTTTCTATCCGATTAACAGTTTACGATATTAATGATCACAGACCCAAACTCGACAAGTCCTCATTTGAATTTACTTTAGAAGAATGTCACCCACTCGGTGTTTTAGCACAGCTCACTGGTAAGTTAGTCTTTAGTTTATGAAACTGTAAACGAAACCTTTGGAGCATATCAGTTTTCAATTTCCTACTTCAAAAACAATTACATTTCGTGTACCAAATAATACCAATTTGTAACAATCCATAATGACATTTGACATTATATATTCAAATACTGGATGTCAACGACGATTTGTACCAATCCATAATGACATTTGATAAAATCAACTTTACATGGCTGATTTATGTAATACTGGGTCCTATATGACTTTCTATCATATGTATGATACTTTCAGCTACTGACGAGGACGGTGGAAACAATGCTCAAATAACATATGAAAATATCATAAAGGGCCCGATCACAGTATCTTCGAACGGCACTATATCCCTGACATCACCTCCAGTTGCAGGTTCATTTACAACATTAGAATCATATGCTGTAGATAAAGGATTAAATCCGGGGGTATTAAAGGTAAGCCACTTTGATTCGTTCATATAAAGGCATAACATGATCGTTTCTAGCAATCATGTTAACATTGTGTTCCAATTATTGGTGAATCAATTAAAATATTGAATGATCTTGACCTCTGGCATGGATACAGTGTTGGACTTTTAGCCAATTAGTGATATGAAGTATATTATTAAAGTGAGTACATTGGCATATAAAAGAATGTGTTTCTGACCGAGCAATATTTTGGCTTGTATTGATCCACTTTCTTTAAACTTATGACTTATTGTGTTTTATCTATCAGAGTCCTACTCCGGCGGTGATTACCGTTATTGGTATACCGTGTCCAACAGTTAGTACCATACCACCTGTAACCGACGTTCCGACTCCCTCTATTGTACCTCCTACTACACCAGTACCTCAACCTACTTTACCTCCAAATGAACGGAAAAACAATGTGAAAGATATGCTATGGATTGCTGGTTCCTGTGTTTTAGGGCTGTTGATTGCAGCTATATTGATATTTATTCTCTACCGGTGTCACAAAGCTGCAAGGTCTCGACAAAGAAACATTTCGAAATCAATGACTGATTTGACACCACGGAAACGTGAAAAGTGAGTTATCTCCCTTCAATATATTTTTCTACCCTTGGACCTATTGGAAAATAATATTTTTTAAACTGCATGCCGTTTTAAAAATGTCTTGGTGACCAGAAAGCATTTTTCTGCCACTGATATCCTCGATTGTAGAAAGCGTATAGCTCATGTAAAGTTGGTGATGTTGTAATAGCTATGGGGAACTATTAACTACTTTCTTATCCAAATTCTCTTTCAGGCCTATAAAGCTTGATAAAGTAAGACGCCGATCGTCCGTAATGGCTGAAAACCCGCCTGATGCCCCTAAACAGACCCAGAACGATTACTTTAATAACGGTGAGGCACATGTTCATGAAAACAATATCACGACCTGTAATTTTAGGCGTGCAAGGCAGCGTGTTTGATCATATATAATATATATAATGTATCTGCCAGTAGACATTTATCTATTGGAGCTTTTGGATAAGGTTGTTTTTACTTTCAATAATTAACCGCATGCATGTTTTTATTTTTTGGCAAACGACTTATTTATTGTTTGCTTTTCTGTATTCTCTTATATAATATTTCTCTATCAATTTTTTGAAAATAATAACTCGGCGCTTTCTCGATAACATAATTGGTCAAGTAAATATGAACAGCTTATCTGTCAAAGAATTTAATATAAATATAACAATGAAGCATGTCATTAATTTATTTTTCAGATGTTAAAGATACCTACAGAGAAAATTATAAAAAGAAGGATTTGCCAAGTGCGGTTGAAACAACGTAAATTATGGTGAAGGGAAATTTGATCTTATGTTATTTTACTGATTTAGGTGCTAAATTGTAAATACACATTTCAACATAGCTCTCTATCTTATATATGTATTGTTTCACAAAAAATCGATCTCTTCTATTCCTAAGGATCATGGATTAATCTAATAGCTCAAGGATCCCAGCTGTACCAATGCTTTATAGAGAATCTACTCCGGGAAGTGACGAACGATTCTTTGTCAAAGATTCAGTCCTGAAATCTAAAATAAAACAAGCATTGTAAAGTGTGGTATAATACTTGAGCACTATCAGTACTATCTGATCATGCAACGTACGGGCAATTTGTAACATAAACTGGGTCGTGTTTCCCATAAAGGCAGGGTAGAGGATACCACAACACCATAGAGGGGGTCATTTTAGACATTGATGACATCAGTCGTGAGTCGCCATTGTACAGGAGGGAGTTAAAACTTAAGAAGCTACGAGAAGGTTGATTTGGTCGATAAGTCAGGGATCAAATCACAGTTATGTGAACCTGTTTCTGCATTATATTTATAAAGAAGTTTTGTTTGTCCCAAACGAAAAAAAAACCACATCCCCAACCCACATACTCAAAATGATATAACCATAGATTGGATTGGAAAATTATACCTTGAAAATTTATTCTTATTAATACTAGATATCATAGATATAACCAAATAAGGTTCTAAAGTCATAATTATTGTTCAAAAATCTAGTACCTTTACTCCAAAAGCTTCCTGAATTTGCAGAACCAGGTTTTCCAACTACAGATGGGTTGAAATAATCGCTGTAACCTATGCTATCAGAGAGACTCACTCTATCTAAACTTTCCGTTGTCTCGACACGTACTGTCGGTTTGATGCCAGACGCGCTTACACCGGATCGGGCATCATCATAACTTCGTATAGAGTATACTCCACTTTCGGCATCACCCTGTCTCTCTACCTTTGGTTTATCGATAGGTTTTCGTGTAGGTTTCACGGCATTCTTCTTGCTTGAACTGAAATTTAAAGCTTCTTTGTTACTTCAATAAACAATCATATAACTTGTCATATAGTTTGCAAATCATTTCTAAAAAGGAACATCCAATAATGGTAAACGTAAGATGACTCATAAAGAAAAATAGGTTACCTTAAATTAGTACTCTTTTTATCTTTTTTACAACACCTATATGTAAAATAGATAACGAGGGCAACAATTATCACAAAAACAACACATCCTAAGGTAATATTTACGATATTCCAGGGGTTATCGAAAATGCTACTTGTAGACGCACCAGCTACCAATGCGGTTGTTACAGATGTTACAATGGGTGTTTGTGAGGAAGTTGAGGTTTGACTTGTAGTTGCGTCTGTATTTGTCGTGCTTCCAGAAGGCACTGTACTTGCCGTCGATGTACTCGATGCTGAGGTAACTGGTGAAGAGGCAGCTATTGTGGAAAAAGTATTAGTGGATGCAGCTGTCGTAACTGCAATGGTGGACGCGGTGGTCGTAGTTGTTGATGGTCCACTCGATGTCGTGGGTCCAGTAGATGTTGTTTTCGCAGGGCAAGCAGTTCCTACGATTGTAATCGTTGAGTCTAAACTCGTCATTGAGGGGGTACCACGATCCTGAGCTCTTATTGTCAGAGTGTCGATACTACCTGCTATTGGTTGGTCTTTTAACCAAACCTCTCCATTGCTTAATAATTGCATTGACTGCGAGATATCAGGGATGAAATCAAATATTCCATTATTTCCAGCATCATTATCCTGTGCTGTAAGCGTAGTTATCTGACCAAGTGTAGAGCAATCTGTATAAGTATATACCGAAGTAAAAGGATCCAACATAGGTCTGAAAATCAAACAATAGGTCTGAAAATCAAACAATATATTGTGTTATAATATGGCATAACACATAACATGGCATAAAACATATGCACCTCCATTTAGATAATGACCCTAAATGTCTGAAAATGTGTCAATTTGTGTTTTCATATAAGACAATAAAATGCGTTACTTGTTAAAATCATCAAATATTCCTATAAGAATACTGGTTAGCCTTGGAGGCAAATTTCAGCGTAAACATGGGAACTGATATAAATGGAGATCAACATCATACCTGTCTTCTGCAGTTTGGTCTGATGATACAGGCAACACAATGCACTTTAGGCAGAAGTTTGCCAGAACAGTCTGTTTTTATGCCAAACCAGGATTAGCGAGGAGCGTCTTACTCGCTCAGCTGGCTGGATCAAGTCAAAATCTAATTAGTGTACCGGTAATATGTATATCATATGTACTGAATAAGCCTTTTTGCTGGAAATTGTGCTTCAAATTACCTGTTGTCATTGATGTCCTGAATTGTCAATGTAAGTTGTACTACATTAGACTGTAAATTACCAGAATCCGTCACTATGATGTCCAATAAAACCGTTTCGCTTGTAGTTTGATACAAACTATAAACTCCTGGTGTAAAGAGATGTCCCGTGGCCTCGATTATCTCAAATTTACCAGTAGGATCAGAAATGATGGAATATTTATGTGTATCAGTACCATCGTCATCTGTTATAACATACACTGGATCCAATCTAATCTGGAACAAAGTAAACGAAATATATCAACAAAACGAACTTGTGCGACAGAATGTTGAGCTTTGTCGGCTGGTAGTCAAAAAATCTTCAGTTGTTCCAACAAACGTTTTTCTGAGGATTTGCTTGCTATTGCAATGCTTGTCGAAGAGAGACTATCGGAAACTCTAAAACTTTAATGGGGAAAGCCTTTAAAATGTTACTTATTTATTCGATATAGTAAACAGTCATTCGGAATCTGAGATCAAGAATCACTTACGTATCCTTCGTCTATGGTAAAGACTTGAGGTGAAGCTGACAAGGTTGGTGTTTCCAGTTCATTTTGCCAAACTATATTGATCCAGAATGGGTCACTGTCACAATGTCCATTATTATAAACAACAGTGTAATTTACAGGTGAATCTGTCTCATAATTAGCAATTTTGGTTTGGATGATGTATGGAGCTGAAACAATATAAAGAGGTGTAATATAAAAATGGCTGAATGTAAGACTGTTGGGTGATTATTATTGAAACATGAAACTAGATATAAAAATTGAATTGATAAGGTATAAAAATAACAATGTCGATCATAATCTTTTTCTTTTAGTTACACTCGCCATCCATAATCTGACAAAAGTGTTGATTTAAATCATGCTAGATATGCTTTTCCATTTCTTACCGAATCAAAGTAGTCTGAAACGAATAATCAACACAGAAAATATATAAAATGAAATTACAAGTTTTAATTATTGAAATACTGAAATAAAATTACCTGCCGGCGAACAGACAAAAGCATAGTGTGAGGACATAGAGGCAGGATTAGCTGACACTACACAATTTCCTCCGGCAACAACATCACCCTTAAGATACAGGAAGTCGCCATTTGCATTTTCTCTTGCGTTACGATTAATGTTTTTAGTGGTGATTGCTGGCTTGTAACTATTTCCTACAGAAAAGAAACTTATCACTATAAGATTTATAGGTAACGTATTTCAACTACATTTGGATTTGCATGAACTGAGTGTGTGAAACTGTCCAACACATAACTCAACGAAAAACTGTATAACCTTAACAACCACTTCAGTTATGTTGACGAATGGCGAGAAATGCGAAACTTCAGGGAAAAACATTTTGCAAAATTATTGTATGCTGTTTCATCAGTTGTTCAACTACCACGGGGACTGGTTGAACCAACGGTCCACCATTCATCTAGTTTAGCCACTGTGTTTCGTATGCTTTCTTAGTAAACTTTAATCAGAAAGGATGTTAGTCCCAGTAATTAAAGGTATAGCCTACCTCCTCTGTCTAGAGTAATGATGACCACGAATGGACCAATAGGCGCATTGAATCTGTCAGAAACTCGAATAGACAGGTTGAAAGATTCTGCACAGATATCTTGCATATCTTTACCTACATGGATATCTGCCGCTGAAAAACATCTATTTTTATCACAGAGAATTTGATCAACCCTATAAATATCAACGGGTCAACTATGGAATTATTTGCTAGTCTTTGTTTAGTTTTCTGGGCATTGGCCAATGCAGAAATCGTATGAAATGGTTTTAAAAAGCCTTGTTCAGAAACTTGTAAGTGTCCTTTTAACGAAAGACAACAAATTTCACACTTGTTTCTCCCTTTAAATGTTTTAAGAATGATTTCATGGACATTTTCATTTCAAAGTGTCTCATGTTATGTTACTGAAGTAATACAGAGAACTTCAAAAGTTTTCACTACTAGATGAAAAATCGTCAATCAAAATTTAGTTTACAAAGATCAAATTTTTACCAAAAACTGCCACTTTTCCAGTGTCTTGCACAGTGTAATAATTCAATATATTGGCATAAATTTTATCATTCATACTCTAAACATAGTATAAAATACCTAATTATTTTCAATTCAGCACAAATAGCGTAATTCGTTTCTGTAACATCAGTGTCATCTGAGGATCTCAGGGTCGTGGCAACGCAAGTGATAAAAATTACGTATTCATAGCTAAATATTTTCTAATCAAAATTCGTCCTATTGTGTAGGTAGCAAATTTCAGCAAATCACTCGTTATGACGCTTTGTTTGTGAACGTGAAAAAAAGGAAAGCAGCGTGCCATTACATATTTTGATGAATATGTAGGTACAGAATTGAGTAAGATTTTCGTTAAAGAATTGAAACCGAGAGAAAATCAAACCTTACTTTGGAATATTGACTTTGAAAGAATGTGTTGTTATCACTTCAAACAGGCGGCGGCAAAGCGTTGTATTGTTTTGTTTACATGACCTCATTTCTGTTCTACCAATCTGATTGTTCAGATATTTTCAGCTTGGCTCAAAAAAGTGAAAAAACATTTCCCGAGGGGTTAATATTATTATAGCCATCTATTTAGTGATTTTTAGAAAAGTCCGTGAGCACTTTCCGTGATTAGAAAATATTAATGCAGTAAGTGTATACCTTGAGCAAAATATCACTTACAATTCATGTAGAAAAATCCTGAATATGTACTGGTGTCGATTGTAAATTCAAGATCACCTACATCCTCTTCAAGGTCATTCACGGATGTTGAAAAGAAAGAGTCACCAACATCCAATGTAACAGGTATGGTTCCAGCAGCTGAAAAAAATTTTGTAAATATTCAAAAGGGATATTATAGAAGAAATCGGAGTTTCACTTCATCATCAAATAAATTCAATGTTCAATTTAATTTTACATACGAAAAATATGGAGGTCAATTTACGCCATTATTCATGCTCTACCGATTTGTCTAATACACTGATTTAAAGACAAATGTAAAATATTTTATTACCTGCTACTTATAATTCAAACAACATAATGATTGAAATGCTAAAATCAAATCAACCACTCTTTCATTGCAATGCTGAATATTCAATTGGGTCGCGACCTTATTAATTTGCCTTTAAGATAATTCATTTGAGATAAAACAGAAGACAATATACACAAAACAAGTTGCAATCATAATTTTTCTACAAACATTTTCCAATTTAGAAATAACACTTTACAGTTGAAAGTGTACTTCTGGTATTTATCAAATGTGACGGTGGTTTATCATTTAAGATTTTTGGATATGCTAAATGAATTATTTGAATGGACTTTAGTTTAGTCACACCTGAATATAAACATTTGATTTAAGCATTTCAATCATTATGTTGTTTGAATTATAGGTAGTAGGTTATTAAAATATTTTACATTTGTCTTTGAGTCAGTGTATTAGACAAATCCATAGAGCATGGATTAATGGCGTAAATTGTTTTCCTAAAAGGTGAGAAAGAAGGCGTGTCGAAAATGATGATGATGAATTTGCATCAGCATATCTACCCGATAATTTTCCGACAGTAAAAAACGGTGGAGTATTTTTCAAGATCTGTAAAGTAACAGTGGCAGAGGCCACAGTGGCTGTTCCATCAGTTGCTATGACCGGAAATAGATATCGATTGGCTTTATCATAGTCTAGAGATTCACCAGTTCCAGACAGAAAAAATATGCAATATTCGTCACCTGAAATATGTAAGAAATGATACCAAATACGACGCATCGGAAATCAGCATTGGATAAGTTTCCTATTAAGGAAGATAGCTTGCCAGGCGAGGTAACATACGCCCACTGGTAGTTTTGATTTTAAATAAAAATATTTGGCAGTACAGCAACAATTTCCAGTATCAAATATTCAACCTTCAGTCATACACATATTTTGTACTTTTTAAGGCGATACTGAATGCATGTTTCGCCAAAATCTGTCAAGAATTGGTCCTTCTAGAGTTTTTGCATTTTTAAGAACTAGGGCAATAACTCAAGCTAAATATTTTCCGATTCTTCGTCAAGAATGCTTACGAGCAAATTGGTGAAATGGGTGACGGCAATATACGCCCCGCATTTCATAAAAATTAATGTTAAGTATGTTCTAAATATTACATAATCTGTGATCTGTATTGACGACTAATTTACAGATATATTATGGCTTACATGCTCTTTGATCCAAAATACAGAATAGATATTTGAACTTACGTCCTCCATCTTTCCAAAGATCAAAGCAAGCAGAACAATGTGCAGTGGGAGTTATAGTTGCTGCCCCATCAAACGATACTACAGCAAAATTTGGATCCTTATCAAAACAATAAGGATCATCGGGTGTGAATGTTTTCTCTGATAATGACCAATCAAATGGTGGATTTAAAACAGCACTATTAGCCTAGAAATTGAAATGAACGTCAAATGAATGGGGTTTGATATATTTGGTCAGAAAATTCTTCAGTATATCATCAAATATGAACATCACTTGTATCTCTCTGGGCTGATTATGCCAACGGTCATTTGATGTGTGATAGCCAATAGAGTTTTGGGAATCTCTGCAAAGTACTCTACGTAATTTGCAATCATTACTCCCCGGGTATTTTCAATTATTTATGTATTACATCAGAAGACTGTTCAGAAGATTGGTCAGAAGAATTCTCAGAAAATTGTTCGGAAGATTGTTTAGAAGATTGCTCAGCAGATTACTCAGAAAATTGTTTATAAAATAAAATAAAAGTTTATTCAGAAATTGTTTAGAAAATTGTTCAGAAATTGTTCAAAAGATTACTGTAGAAGATAGTTCAGAAGTCAATATATTTTACACACGAAGAAAATTAAAAATAATTTATGTTCAAAAGATTATTGTAGAAGATAGTTCAGAAGTCAATATATTTTACACACGAAGAAAATTAAAAATAATTTATGTTCAAAAGATTATTGTAGAAGATAGTTCAGAAGTCAATATATTTTACACACGAAGAAAATTAAAAATAATTTATGTTTGTTTTACTCACCAACCCAAATAATGCAAGTAAAACTTTTAGAAATAATTCAGAATCCATTAAAAAGCATAAAACAAAATAAATAGCTCGTATCTTCGTATCGTATCGTATCGGTACTTCAAGACAAAATTATTTTTTTGTTTATGTACGCCAGTGTGACCTAGGTAACAAATGTTTGTGTCTTGGTAAAATAAGTATCAATTGCTATTACTAGTTTCAAAATAAATCTTCTGCGTCACATATTAGACTATTGCTATTGAAGGACTGCGTAAATGGACGAAATTGTTTACGGGATTAATTGACTTAATATGGGTATTCAGAGAAAAACAAACCCCAAAAAATTCTAGCCTTTTTACCCCAGTTCTTCCTTAATTTTCGTGACAATCACGACTGGTTCTATTCATACCACGATAATTAAACTCGATTTTTCCAATCCCGGAATATTCTTTCGCAATCAATCAGTAGTAATCAGGTCTTCGTTTGTCAAGCGATTATGTGTCGTTGGTTTGACTTAGTATCCACGCTAGTTCCAATTTAATATCCATATAGGATTTTTCTACGCACACGAGATAGGTTTCATAAGTTCAGAGGAGAGGGCTGAATTATCACATTAATTAGTTCATCAATAGTATTAAAGATACTTTATGTACCTAATACGAAAGACTGTTTCGATTGGAGATAAATATGTAAACGTTGAATGGTACGCTTGAAATACACGACACAATCATACACTGATAATCGAAGTACATGTTAATAAATATTCCTGAATAGAAAATATATGCTAGTTAATGTAAATAGTTGACCTTCGTTATATATTATTAAAAATGTTTTCTTATACTAATCCTCCATTTCCAATCAAAAATAAAAACTGCTTTAATCTTTCCGCTAAATCAAATTAACCTATATTTAAGCATTCAAAATGTTCAATACTAACCCACTAAATACAAGTGAATATTAATTCAATGAATGCTTACAGGATATTCTTTCCATTTCGGCATAGTTCACAAGTCCTAGTTTGCACCTTTATAAACAAGTGAACACTTTTGCCAAAATATAACAGACACATGGTATTCTCATTCACACCAAAATTAAACTCAAACTAGTAGTAGTACGTCATTTTTTTTTAAAAAATGAGCTTAATCAGATGTGAGAGCATAAATAGACACCGAGAAAGCACTAAACAAATCAGGTTATTGAGAATCATAAAGACTCTCATATTCATAAACTGAAGGCAAAATGAAACTTTACCAAGGTATGAAAACACTCGAGATAAAAAACAACACAATGTAAATGATTGGATTGAAATGTTAAATACAGATTGATAATTCAACGAAACCAGTACAACAAATGGCAAACTTATAGCAGCTTTTGGTTATGGCATCATAGTCACACAAAGTGACACGTGTTTGACCACGTAGAGCTTCAATAGAGGCAAATACTCTCCAACGCACACAATAAAGTTGATAAAATCTGATAAAGTCACGGGGTATAGGTCGTCATTCCGGAGGGTCCGGATGAGCTCTTGTCGATTGATTGGAGTGCGTTGTCGCTGATGAACAAAACAATCCGTGATACCCCAGAGTTGTTCTATGGGGTATATATTGGGGGAACATACAGACTATGTAACACGTTGATAATTTTGACTCAAAGGAAGTTGGTTACGATTCTGCCGTATGGGGTCTGACGTTGTCATGCAGGTGTTGTTGGAGATGTGGTAAGACGAAGAATGTCATCGATGTAACGCTGAGTCCTCAAGTTGCCGTTAACGATATCCAGTGGAGGCCTCTCGTACTACGTTACATGCCGCTGTCCATTCACCCTTTCGGCGATAAGCTCTCTGCCTCCCATCATCTCTAAACAAACAGAACCGACTTTCACCACTGAAGACGAACCTCAACCAGTCTGGTCGTTACATTCGTTGGACAGTGTGGACCCATTCTAATCTCAGATGTTCAGCAGGGTACACCGCTTGGGCACGGTCTGTCGTTAAACCCTGTGACCAAACGTACCTTTCATTGATGACGGCATTGTCAGAAAAAGGGTTTCGGAGATGTAAGGTACGCAAATACAGGTCATCACGTTGTATGGTCACCCTGTTCTACCCGTTCTAGACCTGTGTCCTACAGGAACAACCGAAGGTTCTTGGGATGTGGATCACGTGTTTTTCACTTTTTTGAGATTTTCCCACCACAATGAGCAGTGCTAGGGTATAATTTCTGTAAACGTTATTGTTGTGTTTGGGCAATGTAATTTGGATAGGTAAGATAAGTTTCTTATTTTGTTAAGTTTGCTATATGTTTTTGGTTGAAATTCATTTCTAAATTGGTAAAGTTTCTTTTGGTCTTCAGTTTATAACATTGAAAGACAGACTTACACACCTAACGCCTAAAACCATCACAGTCAAAAACCTTGAACATCTCTCTAAAATTGATACCCTTGGTTCATATAAAGATAGCTTGCCAGGCAAAGTAATATGCGCCCACTGGCAGCTTTGATTTTGAATAAAAATATTTAGCAGTACAGTAACAGTCACTTCTTTTGAAATCTTTAGGGGGATACTGAATAATATTGAGTATGAGTTATTGCCTTTGTTCTTGAAAACCTGTTCAATTTTTAGCTCGTGAAAACTCTAGAAAGCAAATATTAAATTTTCAGCGCGGGATTGAGTAATAAAACCAAGTTTTGTCCAAATCCAGCAAGAATCATGCCATTTAATTTTTAAGAGCTAAATTTGAAAGCGTTTCGTAATAGCAAGGGCAATAACTCATATTAAATATTTTTCAATTCTTCTGATTTTCAATAGGGTTCATCCTTGGGTGATTACAACACTCACACCAAGTTTCGTAAAATCCCTCAAGAATTGTGCCTTCTAGAGTGTTTACGAGCTAAAAATGAACGCGTTTTCAAGAACAAGGGCAATAACTCATACTAAATATTTTTCAATTGTTCTGATTTTCAATAGGGTTTATCCTTGGTTGATAACAAACACTCATGTCAAGTTTTTTTCAAAATCCATCAAGAATTGTGCCTTCTAGAGTGTTTACAAGCTAAAAATTAAACGCGTTTTCAGAAACAAGGGCAATAACTCATACTAAATATTTTTCGATTCTTCTGATTTTCAATAGGGTTCATCCTTGGGTGATTACAAACACTCATGCCAAGTTTTGTCAAAATCCGTCAAGAAATGTGTCTTGTAGAGTGTTTACGAGCAATTGTGGACAGACGGAAGGACGGACGGACATGGGTGACGGCAATATACGCTACCAATTTCACGTGGGTGTATAAAAATTGGACTCAAATAAGCCCTGCATCTAAAATAATATACCTAAAAATGTCGAGAAACTAATATACTTTAAGATCTATAACGACACCTTGTACTAACCCTTGGGGCACCTTTCTCTAGATATGCTTTATGCCGATATGCCGATAATCAAGAATGGTCTTCTCTTTTTATTACACATACAAGGTAGACTTAAATATTCTGACTGATTCCGGTTTGTGGCGTACGTCTCTGCATGAGTCATTCAATTCCGGTACAAAAACATTACAAGATTGTGACGTCTCTATGCCGTTAATGGATGGTGCCGTATAAATTTGACCAAGTTATGCGATATTCCACTAACTACCGTATGGATTTGGTTCTTAGTTACCATAGTTACAGGGAGATAACCATGAAAGATAATGGGTTAGGATCAGATAAGACCATTTTACTTAATACCATTGCTACGAAAGAGCAATATCAGGAAAAAATGATAAGAATTTATTTTACGTGATTCTCCACTATTGACTAGAGCCTAGAAACACTATTATATAGCTCAACTTGTAGTCCCAAATATTCGGACAAATAGTTTTGAATTTGAAATTGTCTTGACATCTCTACATAAGTACATGCTTGTCTATATAGTCAACTGCTAAAATAATTCGAGATTCAGCTTGACATCAGGCGTGTTATTGTGACAGACGTGAAGTTCTTTTTTGGTTTTTTAACCTACGTAACATTAATCATCGTTTAGTCGAGATAAAAGTTTACTTGTCTCGTGAGTTTATTTATTGTAATTATATTGAATTTATAAAGTCTGGAACAATTTCACACTTGAAATGAAATCTTCACATCAAAAAGCGAATACCCTATATATATTAAGGTTTCAAGTTTATTTAACATGGTACCATGGTAACCTCCGACAGTTTTTTCAGCTCTCACTATGGTATTATGGATACTTACGGAGCCCCTAAGGCGCAATTGTAAACATATTTATTCATTATTTCGTTTAAACGAAATAATTAATTCGTTTAAACGAAATAACATCATTTATTATTTATTTCGTTTAAACGAAATAACTA